ACGCCACGGCCTGACTGCAACGTGTGATTTCGAACTAGCGACCCCGACGTTGTTATCGACGGCCACAACATGATAGCTCTTGTCAACACCGGAGCCGACTATTCCGTTATCAGCGGAGCGTTCGCTACAAAGTTGAAGAAAGTGAATACCGCGTGCAAAGGCCCTGAGATCCGGGCAGCTGGAGGTCACTCAGTAATGCCGCCAGGAATCTGCACAGCGAGAGTCTCCATTAACAAGCTTTGTGTTCCTACAACCTTGCTCCAGGAACATCATTCTTTATGTGGACTTCTTGAACCTTTAGTGTGCAGTCATCAATCTCAGATCAAAGTCGATAACGCTATCGATAAAAAAAGCACTGCCGCCACACACGTGATCAGAAAAGCACGCCTTAAATGTGCTGGAAGAAGAAGTCTCCATTCCCCCTCGTTCCAGCGTCAGCATTTCCGTCGGCACACAGATAGCAACAAACATGCAGGGGGTCATTGAAGGCGACCGGCACCTGTTGATCAACCGCGAAGTTTGTGTTGCCAGAGGAATAGCCGAAATGCGAGGAGAGAAAGCTATAGTGATACTTTCAAATTTCAGCAATGAATGCAAGCACGTGAGCAAAGGCACCACGGTTGCCTACATCGAATGCATTGTGCAAACCAGCAACGCTTTTGCCTTCACCAAGTCTACCGAAGCTCCTACGATGAACCAAGCTTGTCAAATAACTTTTGACGTTAACACGAACCTTCTGACACATAAGCAAGAACATCTCATAGCTCTGCTACGACAATACAAGGAGTGTTTTTCATCTTCGTCGGAAATTGCATAGACCCGGTCGCAAAACATCGAATCCTTACAGAGTGCCAGGCAACACCGCCAGAGCCCGTATGCAGTGTCGAGGCGAGAATGCGACGCCACAAAGAAGTAGGTGGATAAAACGCTACGTGACAACATTATCCAGCCTTCAAAGAGTCCATGGGTGTCACCCGTTCTGCCAGACAAGAAGAAGAACGGAAGCCTATGCTCCTGCTGGACTATTGCCGCATGAACAAGATCGCGAAGAAGTATGTGTATCCTCTTCCCCAGATAGACAACACCCTGGATCGACTTAACAATGTGAGGTACTTTTCTTCAATGGATCTCAAGGCCGGCTATTGGCAGATTGAAGTCAATGAGAGAGATCGATAAAAAGCTGCCTTTATTACACCGGATGGCCTATTCGAGTTCAAGGTCACGTCCTTTGGTCTTTGCTCAGCACCCGCGAGTTTACAACGCGTTATGGACTCAGTACTGGCAGACTTTCCTTGTGTACCTGGATGATGTTGTGGTGTTTTCCTCAAACTTTGATGAACACCTTTGGCACCTTGAAACGGTACCGCAAGCTATCAAGAACTCCGCGCTCACCCTGAAGATAGAAAAGTGCCGCTTTGCATACAAGGAGTTCTTGTTCCTGAGCTACGTCGTCAGTAAGTCCAACGTTCACCCTAACCCGCAGAAAACAGCTTCCATTGCAAACTTTCCATAGCCAGCGGACAAGAAGGCCGTGCTTCAATTTAATGGCCTATGCGCCTATTACAGGCGGTTCATCAAAAATTTCGCCCGCATTGCAGAGGCACTCACTAATCTTACCAGGATTGACGTGGAGTTTAAGTGAGAAACTCCGCAAGAGGAAGCATTCCAGGAAGTGAAACGACACCTCCAGTCACCTCCGCTATTTGCACATTTCGATGAATTCACTGAAAATTCACACTGGCGCAAGCATTTTAGGTCTCAGCATTGTCCATGTGCAGAAGACTAACAAACTGGAAAGAGTCATCAGTTACGCTAGCTAGTCGCTATCAAAAGCAGAGGCCAACTATTCCACAACAGAAAAGGAGTGCCTTGCAATCATCTTGGCTACATCGAAGTTCAGCCCCTATCTTTACAGCAGGCCTTTCAAAATTGTGAGCGACCACCACGCCTTGTGTTGGCTAGCTAACTTGAAAGACCCTTCAGGTGCCTTGCACGGTAGAGCTTGAGACTTCAGGAATTCGGCATTACTGTCGTTTACTAGTGTGGAAGAAAACACTATGACGCCGACTTTCTGTCACATGCCCCCATTAAACATCTGCCGAAGGATGACCCTGATGATGATTGCTTCCTAGTAATCATAAGTGCCGACGACTTCACCGAGCGACAGCGAGCTGACCTGGATTTCAGGAGCCTTGTAGAATACCTAAAGGGCAAGGCCGCCAGTGTTCCAAAAGTATTCAAATAAGAAGTTGCGTAGCTTTTTTTGAAGAACAGCGACCTTCTAAATAAAACCTCTCGCCACTTCGAGCCAACTACCTCGTCGTAGTACCTTCTGCGTTACGTCCAGATGTTTTAGGTGCTTTACACGATGACCTGACGGCTGGACACCTCAGTGTTTCACGTACGCTCGCAAAAATGTAGGAGAAGTATTACTGGCCACGCCTTTTCGCGAACGTCACTCGTTATGTGAAGACATAAATATGATGGCATATCCAAGCAGATCGCTTGGATATGACCCCATATTTATGGCACTCGACTAAAATTTGAGAAATCAATCATTTAGCCAGCTGTCAGATAAACCTTAGATAAAATTTATAGTTAGCTTTGATAAAATTACACCTATTTGAAAAAAATTACGTTGAGTTATTAGTTTTGGTTATTTTTGTCTCTCATTACCTAGTCGTGCTTCTATCATTGGTGGGTGTTGATGCCTGTGGCAATAGGTTTTCGACATTTTTCATTCCGAGTTTCACGACACATTTAATTTGACCATGCTAGCACCTTTCGGAGAGGCGTGCTTCACATGAGCAGTTGCCATCTTCAACCTCGGGCTCGCTAAACATGTTATTTAACTTGAAGTAAATATGATGCGGTTCGCCGCACAGGCACAATGTTTGCATGCACAGTGCAACTATGGCTGCTGTTTCACCAGTGAAATCTTTTATGCTGCTGAGAGTTACATGTTCTGCGGCCAGCACCTTTCACCTTCGACGAAGCAGAGGAATCCAACCCCAAAATTCAGGTACTTCAGCACAGCCCCAAGTGAAAGCATGTGCCACACTGTCATGCATTGCTATCTTTGTTTTTGGACAAGTCTTGCCAGGACAAGAAGCGTTCTATGGATTGGCAAACTATACCACACAATCTTCTGGGTACACCACGTCAGAGGTCCATTGCAGAGGTCCATTGCAGGGCCACCTGCTTGCGCAATAACATAGATGTGGATCCTGCTGTTACAATATGTGGTATCCACTTCTGTCGTCTTTAACGTGGGTGCGCCATACTGCCTAGCGACCGTTCATGGTCTGCGAAGCCACTGGTAGATGTGAAGCTCCGTGTTTGTATGTAAGGTATTCGTGCGGTTTTGAGCCTGTGAGACGCCCTAAAAAGTTTTGACTAGTCGGGGTCAATCATAATGCGATGGCGCAAGCGGGTCTCAAGTGGTCGATATCGTATGTTTTCGGCACTATTTTGATGCTGCCACGATCGAACAATTTTTAGATGCGAAGCAGCTCGTTGACTAGCCTGTGTAACACTGTACCTTCGTGCGTTCTCACGAATGCACCGCAACGCGCTCTCCTTGCTGCAGGTGTTGGAATGGTGCCAAGTAGGTCACACCGCAGCTGAGCGTTGACGTCACGCTCCCCTCGCAGTGCACGCAGAAGTCACTCTCTCGCCTGCGGCACACTTGCCGCAGGTGCTGCCTCATCCGTTCGCCCTGCAACATGTGCGGTTACCGCCGCTCGCTCCGCTACATTCCTAATTCGTTGGTTCATGTGCAATAAACCTGACCTGCGTCTAGCGTGCACGTCTCTTCTGTGCGTTGTTGAGCACTCAGAGTTAGCAGCATGTGTGTTAATCAAAAGCGGACTGTGAGTCTGTGTCCAACCGGAGTCTTCTGTCTCTCACTGCCCATTAGCAGCGATTGGCATGTTCCAGCAGGATACAGTGGTCCATCACTGTGAGCTCTGCGCCTCCTTATGTTTCTCTCCAGCGCGATGCCACCATAAGCGCCAGCGTCGCTGCCACCGCCAGTGCAAGCGTTAGCGCCCACTGCTTTGCATCTACGCATGGTTTTCTTTAAGGGGAGATGGTGTAATTTTTGTGCATGGACTTTAAATTTAAGTTTCCTTCAGTCACGGCTCGTTTATGCAGTTGCTTCGACCACCACTCCTAAATGCGGTCATTCATGAGCGCGAAGCCTCGATTTTGTGGTCAGGACAGCATCAGTTTGTTTCTCTTAAATTGTTGTCTATCTCGTCGCTTGAATTCTAAAGGGATTGACAACTGCCCAAAACATGAAATGACTAGACGGATGGAAATATTGTCCTTCATAGTGACTCAAACTAACCCTGTTTTTCTCGTTATGTTATTTTAGATGCTAAGCAGCTTTTTGACTAGCCTGTGTAATGCTGTCCCTCTGAGTCTCCGTGTCAACGCTCCGCACAGCCTTTCTCCGCCGCAATTTCTGGAACGATGCCAAGTAGATCAAGTCGTAGCTGCGGGCTGACGTCACCTTCTCCCTCACTCGCACCAGCTGCCGGCTCTTCCCAACATACCTAGGTGGTGTTGCTCCTCCGCCCGCTAACAACGCACTGTTCTCTTGCTTCACCCTACCCACCGCCTGCAACGCTCGACCGCACGTTGGATGGAAACACTATTTTGGCTCGTTTATCTGCGATGAAATTTACATGAAACTCAACCCTCCTCACGTGTCCTTGCGTTTCAAAGAAACATTTGCTCGAGTAAAAGCTACACGGAGTTTCGCTTTAAATCGTTCTTTGAGCATCTGTGTCGATGCCAGTTTCAGCCGGGTCAATGGCGTGTGCACTGCTGGTGCTTCGCATCCCATCATGGTTCCCTTAGGGGAAATGGTCCATAATTTTCTTCATTGAAATAAGAATCTCATAGGATTGCATAAATTTATGTCATTGAGGAAAGTTTATTTTGTAATTGCAGTAATTTTTTTCATGTATTGTATTTGCTTTTCTCAAAAACAGGAGTTCACTAAAGGCAGCCAAAGACATAGCTGACCGATTTTTTGGGCAACGCAACGGAGAGTGTCAGCACACCATAGCAGCAATTGGAAACTGCCACATTGACACAGCCTGGCTGTGGCCCTATGCTGAGACCAAGCGAAAGTGTGCCCGAAGCTTCGCGTCTGCACTTCTGCTGATGGAGAAGTTCCCAGAATACACCTTTGCCTGTTCACAGGTTAGTATTGGTTGACCATCATACTGCCATGGTAGTGCTTTTTGGTTAGTTTTTTTTTCGTTTCGTTATCGTATGGTGAAAGTTTGAGACAATCTCGCACAAATGTTCCATAATATAGCACTTTTATACTATGCTACTTTTATGTAGTGTGGCACCTGTACAATAGTAGTTTGAGCTTGTACCACGAGCCTTTCTCCGACCAATATTTTGCGTCTACCTGACTGGTGCGCGTGCACTCGGGCAACTCTCCTCTTGCACCGCTGCTGCGCCTCCGCATTCGACATTGGTCTGGTGCCTCTCCTTTATTCATGACACCATGTTATACCTTCTGATGTCAGCTACCTTCCCACGAAATACAAGAAAACTTAAAAAATTATAGTAAATATTTAAAAAGGATAGTCCAAAAGTATATAAGAAGTCTTGTTGAGATTTTATTTAAACGTAAGCAGCTCGAAAACCTCTTGTAGCTTTGCTAATGCCACGCTAAAAACTTCTAGAGAAAATTCTAAAAACGTCTTTCTAGATTTTTTAAGAACCTTTGTAAACATTTACTATACTTATATTATTAGAAGCCTAGTAAACTTCTTGCCAAGATTTTAAAAAGACTTTTGCTAGATCTTTTAACACCTTTTTTAGACATTTATTTTTCATGCAAATCAGCTTGTTGAGCATTTCCCGTGGTTAATTTGTTGCATCAAGTCAGCGTTTTGCAATCGACGCATTTAGCTGTTCACTGTTGAGAGTGACAACTATCTACAGTAGCATAGTTTCGCATCAAATTGACTGCTGGCACTTTTTTAACCAGCAAAATTGGTGCCCTATTTGTTGAAAGAATTAATTAGTGACTGCCGTCTGTCATTACAATAATCTATTTTGCTTGGAGACAAGACGGGCTTTTAAACGTCAACTCATTATTGTTTCTGGTGGTGCCTGGAATGCATCATGCTGCACATCCAGAAGTAAATACAAAATTTCAACATATCTTGTTGCATACTTGTAGCCTTTATTATATATAATAATGACTGCACACTTTTTCCCAGAACTTGCATGATTTATAGTAACTATAATTATACAAAGCAATTGAGGGGCTGGCCAGATACTTGGTCCAGGAACCTGCACACATACAAAAGGCACAAACTGTTCTCTTTGAGCAGACTTATATCAGTGCAACGAAATTAGCAGGCTAGCTCAGCAAACACATTGGCCCAGTAGCAAATACATGAAGGTAGAAAATTTGTTCCAGCCAAAAAGCAGCAGTCGAACAATGAATTTTTTTCTCAACCAGTGCACTTAAATTTAGGTATGTTAAAATCATGAGTAGTCGAAACTAATGGATTGCACCACAAACCTGTGTTTAAGAATCAAATTGTGGTTTTGGCAACACCCCGAATTCTAAATCCATACCAAAATACTCGCACAAAAGACACAGTGAAGTAAAAAACGCTACAGTATTCTAGAATGCCTTCTATCAGTCATTATTAACAATGTTAAACATGGTTAGGTGTCACTGTCATATATCACGCATGGTTAGGCATTGGCAAGGTTAGGTATGATTTAGTAAGACAGTAGAAAATCACTCGATTGCACTTATGGCATGAAGTTTCCAAAGACAATGAAATAAGGTTACAAAAACATTAAAACAAAATATTCAGTCAATATTACAGTGAAAATAAAACCATTGATCTGGTACAGCCTTTTTGAAATGCAAAAAATTCAATTTTAAGTGACTAACTGCAGATTAGACAAAAATTAAACATGACATAAAACCTTAGAGAGCAGCACTCACACATTCAGAGACGGGCATTGTGCTTGTAATAAAATTTAGCCCTAAGAAGAGAAAACTGCCTTTGCAGATAAGTCATGTGTGCAGGGGGACACAAAGTAAGACAATAATCAGCTGCCTAATCAGTAAGGCAGTAATGTCAGCTGCCTAATCAACTAAGAATACAAAACTTTTGGTGCCTACAATAAGTGGGTATGTTTGCATAGAACAGTTTGTGCTAGTCGTGTTTCTAAACACTTCCACTTTGAAAAATTCTTCGAGCATGTCGATGCTCTGAGGTATTTCACGCGGAAGTTTACTGTGCTTTTCATGATTACGCATTCAAGGCAGTGAGGATCAGCAAAACATTACTGCTTGGTGGCACGAGCAGTCAGTGCTTGCTATCACCAGCCGGTAGTAAAAAGGTAACCATTATAATGCTTGTCTATGGCTTTGACCCATGGTCAGATTATATGCGGCACCTCAGGGAGTAGTAGCTGTGTGCTAGTGCTCACTGTCCTGCGCGCATGATGATGCAACCCTCAACTAAACTTTTCAGCGGGATATCTGAGCACAGGCATGCCAGAATTTTTTGGACCTATGTAGAAATGTGACTGGTACAAATTTTTAATACATGCGTGGCTGCCTGCTGCAATCACCAATAAGTTCATTATTGAATCTTATTCGAGGGCACGGCTGACAGTGATAATTATTCTTGCACATTGTGTTCCCCTGAACACTTAGCTATCTGCAAAAGTGGCTTTTACTCACACAACTTACAGCACTGACTTTTTTAAAGAAAAACAAAAGGCTTAATATTGGACATCTGAACGTGCGCGCTACTTGAATACAGCAACAAGGTGGCTCAGTGAAGTTCCCTTTCCATAGGAAACAGAAGCCTTTCGCAGCTGCTGTGCATTCAGTAGCCAACTTTTCCACAAGCCACCATTGATGAAAGGCTTGTCTGGAATTCTTTCACACTCAGTTCGTACGAGGTGCATGCATAGGCTGCGATGGAAACAGCGAAAAAACAATTTAGTGACGTGAGTGACATGTGTCTCTTAGGAAAACTGGGTTTGTCAGTATATTTAAAATGATTTCGAACAATGTGTCTTAAAACAAGCAGGATGTACACAAGCTAGAGATGTTACAAGCAAAACTTTTTTGATGTTCTTGGCAAACAGAGTTGCAGCCTTATGAAAGAAAATGCAATTTCCGCATTGTAGATGTGTCAAAACCATGCTTGAATTGCGCTCGTGCATAGTGCATTGAAAGCAAATTATATGATACCACAACACATACATGATGGTATGCACTTAATCAAGTATTCATTGCAGGTAACCAATAATATTGAACATGAATTTGATTTCAAATACATCTAATGTAGCTTTTTTCAGGCTGCTCACACTGGGAAGATTATACCTATAATGTCAGAAATTGGTGTCACTAAATTACTATTGTGTGCTGCCAAATTATGGTCATCAGTTTCAATAATTTTGATTGGCTAAATGGCAGTACCCCTCACTCAAGCATCACAGGTTGTCTAATGAAAAAAAAAAAAAAAACATACGAGGCCCCCGCTTTGAACCACACACCATCCCAATAAAGCATGCGAGCTTCTGCAACAATCTCCGGGAACCAAAATCTCGCAAGCTATTGACCGCAATTTAGCAATAAGATTTGATGAAGCTGATTTCCAAATTTGTATAATTCTTTCAGTACAATAGCTTGAAAACTTGCAGTCTATATCTATTACTCTCAAATAAGTGCGGTGTCGAATTTTACATTTCAACAGCAATACGTCCATGACTTATGCATGCTTACCGTGATTTATAACATTATCGCGAGTTTTGAGTGACATACCACAGATTCCGTCAACATCTGTAGTGCATGTCTAGAAAGTTTACTTTATCCAGTATACTGTTAAGCTTGTCTATAATCAAAAGTTTCATTGGAGGTGGCGCTATAAACTATTCCTAATGATCGTACACATAAATGTGTTTATCAAAGTTTCAACACCAAGGTTGGGCGAGGTGCATAAAATACTTAATAAACCAAAACAAAATATGAACATAGTGGAAAGAAGCAGAGTAAAATTGATGGTGTTCGAACATGTGGACTAATGGCTGAATTTGTTCTCGCACAGTAAAGTACAGCAATTTGGCCACATTTAGCCATGAAATATTTGTTCTAAAATACAGTTCATGATAAACTAGTGGCTTAAAATGCATGGATTCAGGCCGCATGAGGCAACCTATGTTGCTGCTGTATACCTAAAGTTGGAATTTTACTAAGCGAGCTACATGAAGTCTTAAGTGTAAGTGCAATTTTTGCGAGCCCTACCTAACACAATTCAACACGCTGCACACGAACACGCATCAACTCGAGTATCACGGTAGTTTATAGAGACGTGTGCCAGTGCGGATGCACACACCGGCATACATTCGGCCACTCTCAAAGAAAAAACTTCTCTGATAGTAGTCATAACGTATAACGATACTGTAGCTGTTTAAAATGGAACGTACAGCAGATGAAACTGCCTCAGACACGTTCACTTCAATAGCGCACAATATGAACAGGCATCAACGCCTACACCTAACAAATGCCCCAGAATAAATAAACAAAAATAGTGGTCACTTGCGAGCAATGCCCCCTTTAACACCGCTGCCAACAGAGGCTGACATCCGCCACAACTCTGCTCGAATCTGCCGCCGAATTCCCGCTATGCGTGCATGTTTCACACTCCACACAAAAGAAAAAACTTGTCCGTGCTTATCTTCGCAAAACTTTGCCTTTACACTGCTGAAGTACTACAGAAAAGCTGTGTCTCCACGTAAACAAAAGCTCACTTATCGTGCACATGGTAGGAAAAATGTGGTGAACGCAGTGATAACAAAGCGCCGACAGCAGCAGTGTTGTACATACTTGCCGAGTGCTCCACGATACGAACTCACACGCCTTGCTTGAGTATAGCGCATCTTCGTAGTCAGCAGCACTGGTGGAACACAAAACACGAACACAAAGCACAAGCACACTTTTAAAACACGAGAGAAATTGACCCGAATCCGCTCTTTCGAGAGGCGACTGAGCTCGTCCAGACAAGTAAAATTTTTCTAGCCGTGCAGGCGCACAACGCATTTGCGCGTCTTAATTTCTTAATGCTGACTAGAGAGCTCAATTGCTACATTGATATAGGTAAAAAGTATGTAAAAATATATACTACATAAATATGTAAAGC